AAATGTATCAAAATGAAAACAGCTATTTTGGTTGCATGTATTAAAAAAATGTCAGGATTACAAAATCCTCCCTTTGCCACGTGTTATCAAGATAAGTAACAAAAAAACGCGTCGCGACTGATGCTCCCCCTTTAATTTTACATATTTTACTCTGTTTTAATCTAAAGCGTACCCTTGAGTTCAGCGTGGTTAGGTGTTACCTATGCATTTCTTTATTACTATGCTCGATTGGTAAAAACTTGAAAAGCTTATGTACTTGCAAGCATAATATACTTTGACCCTTTAATTTATTAATAATTACGCCAGTTGTTTCGTTTCGCCCGAAAGTGCGATAAAGAAATATATTTATGCATACAATTAAATGTATATTACTTATTTAAATCAGAACCTTGTCTTGGCCAAGGGTCAAAGGCCATCAAACCCTGCGGTGATTCTCCGTGTTCATAGACCATAACGCCGCGTGTGAATCTGCCATGGGAATCTTCTAACTCTACTATCGATGCTTTTTATAACCTTGAAGGAATCTGTCATGGAATTGTCTTTGTCATATAATGTCTATGGAATGTGAATCATCTCTGGCAATATCGTGTGATGTAATTCCATAATTAGTTATTACGTGTATATATATATATATATATACGTACATATTCATTTTATATTTTATATATTAAAGATTACGTATGTTTCTCGTTACTCGTACACTATTAATGCACTGAAGTTTATTCTCATGAAGGTTTTATTAAACCATATTAACTAATTAAAATTTAGTTATTTTTAAATTCTTAACTATGTTTTACCATTAGGTTATCAAATATGTGTATGTTTTTTTTGGCACGTGGGCAGTTTGTAGGCATGCCGCATGCTTGAACTTCAAAATCCATTTAAATATTTAATCAAATTCTTAATCAATTACTTTATTATTTTTATATTGCCTTAACCTATGCATATTTCGATCAGCCCACATCGTGACATCATCTATATTGTTACACGTTCTTTGTTTATAATTGTGCTCATGATTATATATTTTTTACAAAAAGTTCACAATAGAGACTTTAATGAATTAAAATCTAGCCTATACAATAATTATGGCTGATTAGTAATATTATGTTGACTTAATTTTCTACAATACTAGTGAATAGTTTAAACTAAGGTAATGTTCATTAACAATCTTAGTGTTCTATAATATTTTGATCTACGTTCGTGTGTCCGAGATACCGCACTTGCATCATTCACTACACTAGTTTTAGTAACTCAAAAGGTTTATTCCTCTTTAGGTCGTCTTGTTCTTGTTGTATCAAGTTGAATTTATGATTTAATAAATGCATTAGTATGCGAGTCGTGCTAAAATTTGAGTAGGAAATTAGTATTTATTATATATATGTATGTATTATTAGTATTTGGGTAGATACTAATAATAAGGTAAATGGTACCTTGTATATAAAGCTTATTTCATAAAATTCATTCATAGATTGGTCAATGGGCGGTTATGAATGTCAACTGCACTTGATTGTTCTAATTGATTTATTGGATGAAGTGAAATTCATACAGTACATGATAGGAAAAATAAACATGTTTTTAGAGGTCTATGACAAATGTTTTCAGTACAATGTCATTATCATTTCGGTATAAATGTTTACCTTACTTTTTAACGTTAGTCCTTTTCCATTATTGCTGTATTGGCTCTAGCTTGCGACTCTCATCCTTGAGGTTGTAGGTTCGAACACCGGCAATGCACCAATGTACTTTTACGCTCGCTAGTTTGGTGAAGAAAAACATCGTGAGGAAGCCGGCATGGCATGACTCAGAGCCAAAAATAACAGTAGCGTATGTCAAGTACAGAAGGCGGATTAGAACTTACCTACTTGCCTATTTTGTAAGTGCGTTCTGATAAGAGGGTTTATATAAGTTTGTTTACTTATTTTTCTTATGCTAGATGCGTCATTCTTGATTTAAGAAATATTTTTTTTTATTTATTTTATTTTTATTTTAGTTTTTTTTTTATTTTAAATATAGTTTAAAAACTTATTACATTTGTCTACAGTATGAAAGCGTAATGCAATAAAAATAAATCGTTTATTTGCAAATAAAGTGGCACATTTAGATCGATTATTTATAAAAATCCGCACAATCAGCCATATACAACAGGCATTCAAATGTCATATAAATTTTCATTGTGAAGTTATGTAAGAACATTAACATAACGTCATAATAATAAGTTAAATAATTTATAATTGCTGTCAAACTTATGGTCGAAATACTCGCACACCCTATAAGGGCAATTAAGAAAAAGAAAAATCGAATTTCATCCAAATCTCACGACTAATCCGTTGTCGGGTAACACTAGTAGATTCAAAATTATGCCTTTACTAATTTCGCGATGATGTAATTAGGTCACCTCTGCTGGAATCAACCTAATTGAATTAGCAAGTCAGACAGATTGCATACCTAAACTTGTTATCTCCCAGCATTTGAATCAGATGCAAATACTCTGAATTTAAATGTTAATTAAAAAATTGAGAACTTCCCATTAGGAAAATTGGTATCGCTGTACAAGCCATGAGATCGTATCGAATTCATATTAGGGATAATACTTTATTTGCCACGGTCAAATGCTTTTTCTGCTTTAGTTGGAGTCGTTGTTAAAGCGTTTATGCTTTACTTACTTAGTAAAGATTTAAAATAAGTATATTAGATTCAGTTGGAAGCTACATCATCTATGTACTTCATTCCTTACACTTCACCTTTTTTTAGATAGTTGTTAACTAATTTGTAAGTTGTAACTGTGTTGCGCCGTTCTTTAGGTATATAATTATAATTGTTCTGTCATTGGAGATAATTTAATGGACTCTATGTATGGCTGTTAGTAGTATATCATCTACTACGTATCAGAGTTACCTTATAATAAATAACTTGTTTTTATGTTCAATTAATCTTATTTTTCTAAGGAAATCTAACTATGCCTCTCGCTAATAATAATAATAATCCTTTATTTGCCAAGATAGTGGTACAAAATAAAAAAAAGGGTGTGTGTACTTATGTACGCGCGTAAGAAGTTATACTTCTTCGGCTTTCTTTATTTTTTAAATATTAAATAATTAATAATAAATATTTAACGTTAATAATATAGTAATATTTAGTTAATTATTCAATTATTAATTAATATTTATAATAATAATAATGATTATTTTATTATATTATTCATTCAATTTAATAACTAGGTATGTTTCATAACCTTTTAACTAACTAACAATAGGTCTTAGTGAAAAAGCATTGCTAAATTTCTTTGAAAAAATAATTAAAACTCCTTTATTTGTTTAAAAGGTACTACATAGGTCATTATGTTCATTCAAAATGCTTGGCATAGCTGCTAACTTCACGCATATTCTATTTCTTTTTACTTATAGATAGTCTTATTTTCATCTCGCTCGCGCACGCTCGGCGCCCGGCTGGTTTAAAAAGAACTCGTTACTGCGCAACTTCATTCTGATAATTTTGTGTCACGGTGCGCGCGCATCGTAAAATTTCACTCTCAACAATTTTTCATAACGCGCCTAAAGAAGTATAACTTCAAAAATCGAACAACAAGAAAAATCCGCACAATCAGCCATATTTTAATAGGCATGCAAATGTCATAATAAGAAGTCAAGTCATTTATAAGTAATTGTTAAACTTATGTTCTAAATATTCGGTCACGCTATAAAAGCACCTTGTTTTTAAAAACCTAATCACCTTCCCCTTGAAAACATTACATGGCAGCGATCTATAATTTCTAGGAAGGTGATTAAATATTCTTACAGCCATGGCGTAACAATTTTTGGAATATAGCGCGGTGCAACATGCAGGCACCCGCAGCAGTACTCTGTTCTTCTACCGTAAAAAGTTGTGTCATCCATGTAATACCACGTAGGTTAATTTATCCGGTCCCTACTTAAGCGATCTTCTGTTGTACATTATTACGTAATTAGCTAACCTAACAACATCTTATACTGACCATATCAATATTAAAAATCTTTTATGTTTTAATACTTTGACTTGGCCATTCAGACAAATACTGTCTTCTATTTTTATCCACAAAGGGGGGCAAAAATCGCCTGAACTGCTTCGAGTAAAGGATGGTACGGCCGTGCCGCTTTTTTACTCGACTTTGGCGTGCCCCCAGAATAAGTTTCTATTAAGTAAAATTTGTTAAATGTGTGATACATAATAAAATACCACTTACCAATACGGTTAGTCGAAGCAGACCATACCGCGTGGATCAGCAAACACATGAGCAAAATCTTTAACGCAGTTATAAATAAGGTTAGCTAGAATAGCGTAATAATTAAAAAAATAAGAATAACTACTAGTAGTTCACTACGCTGCTTTCCTTTTAATAATATATTTTAGTTATTATATTATATTTTTTAAGGGGTTTAGTTTTAGATTCTAAGAATGTTATTTTTATGTTGCTTAATTAATATAGTATTTAGATAATACATATTATAATTTTTTTTTAAAATCGAAATCTTGGGTTTTCCGAAACTATTATCTCGCCATTTGGGTAACACCCACAAAGATATGGTTATAGATTCTTTATTTATGTTACATCTTTAAAATAATTTTTCGCAGAAACAATTATGTATAATTAATTTTATTTGCAAATGTTAAAAGTTACACAACACAAAAAAAGAAAATGAGATAAAAGACTACAAAGAAACTGCAACAATGAATGATTAATAGAAGTATAGGAATTTAAAAAATAGCACACATATGTCGATTGTCGCTTCAAGATTACACATACATATATAAACACAGAATGATACAGAACATTTTACGAAAGAAACAATTGCCCTATGGCCCATTACCGTGAGTTATTGGACCTTAAATAAGCTTTGTTTTTAAATCCTATATTTCAAATTTTGAAAAGACATAATACGAACGCGAATTTTATTAGGTAGATAAGCTGATAAGGTTACATTATGTACCTACATTCTATGCTTAACATGTAACACATATTAAAATTATTCTTTATCTCCAATGTCATCATTAAACCGCACATAAACGTCTGGTAAACAGGACCCATTCAATGCTCCAGGTGAACCTTCTGGACAGTTTACATCCAAAGACGCAACTGGATCCTCCATCACAATTTTCTCGGAATGATTTACATCACCGCCTTGTTCTTCCTTTTTGTCTTTGATTGTGTTTGAATTTCCGTCAAACAAATTGGTAATATGACTTGTGGCTCTTCCTAATTTTTCGTCAAGTCTTGATATTGCATCTAATTTAGCTTTATGAATCTTCTCTGTCATATTATAGAATTTATTGATTGGTTTTAATAAAAGGTCTTCTAAAAATCCACTCTCTACACGCAATACCGCTACAAATAACAATATTAAAATCACTGTCCTCATTGTAAACATTACTTCCTTTCTTCGTGTGTAAACTTATACTGATAATCTTGTTAATTATTTCGTATTTGTTATCGTCTAAGTATGTCTGGGTTAAAAGTGATATGTATTTAGTCATATAAAACCTCTTGGCACGAACCATCAGCTGCTTTTGCGTAACCCTGAATACAACCAACTTCAAAACTGGCTCTAGGTACTCCATCTTCATATTTTATCGAACTATTCACTCCAGTTGATGTTTCCAGTAAAGGATCGTCGGTTTGTAAAAAATCTGAACCCACGATAACATTTTGTACGGTTTCATTAGTTAGCATCGGAAAGAAGGAATTCTGAAGATTATTTTCAATATTTGTTACTCCATTCTCTTGTGATATAATATCATCACTTGTATTTCCAAAGTTAACATTGAAAATTGGTATATAATCACCATTAAGCGCCGATGTAAGGTTTTGTTCATCAACAATTTTTACGATTACATCCATTTCCGAATTATTCAAAGTAGTCTCCGTGATGGGGCCACAAGTAAAGTATTTTATTTCTACCAATAATAGAGTAATTAAATATATTAAAATATTATTCATGTTGAAATAACTTTCTCGACCGAAGACTAAAATATAACTGGAAAAAATACAAAGGAATTTATTATCAATATTGATTGGAAGCTGAGAGTGTAAGGGCCAATCTACACATCATGATTAAGGAAGGGTTTTGATATTTCAATTATATATTTTTATTACAGTGCACTTTTAAAATATAAACTTTACCATGAATTTAAGAATATAAGTAGTAAAAATACACTCGCACCTTATATATTACAGCAATCCTTTGACTGTAACTGCTGAACTATTAATTTAAAATAAAAACAATAATTCCCAGAATGTGCAAATCTTTTTATTCATCTAGAGCAGTATTTTTTATCATAAATTCAATGTACCCCAGCTTCCTCTTACTGAACTTCTCTGATAACATTTACTTACCACTGATAATAGTATTATTATTCTCTATATTGGTATAATTCTTATTGATCTTGCAATTAGTATTAAACCGTTTGAGAAACATTTAATCAATTGATAAAAATTGAAAAACCTCCAAATGAAACATTATTGTATTTAAGTGAGTATAACATAAAATTACGCTTTATTCAAAAGTTATATAAAATTAAAACATACAGCTAATACTTGGGGTGAGCTATATAATGTCGGTTTAAAACATCGCTCACAAGTACTAAAAAAAATTCTTACCATTCCGTCGTCCGTCTTCCGTCTTATCTTTCATCTCAGGTTTTTGTATCTAGTATGACCCCAGGTTGCAAGTTGGCTGCAGATAGTACTTCTAGTAGGAGGTTACGTCTTATACAGTCCTTTTATATCGAAATTCAACGAAAATGGAATAATCTTAACATTTGCGAAGTTTACTTAATTATGAACAAATTCAAACCTTTTGTAATCTGTTATAGCAATACCCAGGAACGTTCTTTATTTATAATCCGACATATTCAACTTTTGAGTTAAAGCAAGCACCATTTAGTTTGGTTACATTTCGAGTGCATTTGTAAATTTAGCAGCCACGAAAGGTCATCAAACTTTGCTTTACGAGTTAACAAGCCACAAGTATACAAACAAATGAATTTACTAGCGAACTAAATTAAAATGTACCTTTCAAGAGGACTTTTAATATATAACTACGTTATCTAGTACTAGTCATTTATGATAAATTATGAGAATAAAACATTTCATAGTATGATTCACTCTCCCCGGCGCGGGGGAGGCCGCGGGCCCCCCCCCTTTGGGGTTTTTGGGGAAAAAAAAAAAAACCCCCCCCCCCCCCCCCCCCCCCCCCCCCCCCCCCCCCCCTCTTTTCCCCCCCCCCCCCCCCCCCCCCCCCCCCCCCCCCCTTTTTCCCCCCCCCCCCCCCCCCCCCCCCCCCCCCCCCCCCTTTTTTTTTTTTTTTTTTTTTTTTCCCCCCCCCCCCCCCCCCCCCCCCCCCCCCCCCCCTCTCCCCCCTCCTCTTTTCCCCCCTTTTTTTTTTTTCCCCCCCTTTCCCCCCCCCCCCCCCCCCCCCCCCCCCCCCCCCCCCCCCCCCCCCCCCCCCCCCCCCCCCCCCCCCCCCCCCCCCCCCCCCCCCCCCCCCCCCCCCCCCCCCCCCCCCCCCCCCCCCCCCCCCCCCCCCCCCCCCCCCCCCCCCCCCCCCCCCCCCCCCCCCCCCCCCCCCCCCCCCCCCCCCCCCCCCCCCCCCCCCCCCCCCCCCCCCCCCCCCCCCCCCCCCCCCCCCCCCCCCCCCCCCCCCCCCCCCCCCCCCCCCCCCCCCCCCCCCCCCCCCCCCCCCCCCCCCCCCCCCCCCCCCCCCCCCCCCCCCCCCCCCCCCCCTTTTCTTTCCTCCTTTTTTTTTTTTTTTTTTTTTTTTTTTTTTTCCTTTTTTTTTCTTTTTTTTTCTTCTCCTCCCTCCCTTTTTTTTTTCTCTTTTTTTTTTTTTTTTTTCTCTCTCTCTCCCCCCCCCCCCCCCCCCCCCCCCCCCCCCCCCCCCCCCCCCCCCCCCCCCCCCCCCCCCCCCCCCCCCCCCCCCCCCCCCCCCCCCCCCCCCCCCCCCCCCCCCCCCCCCCCCCCCCCCCTCCCCTTCTCTTCTCCCCTCTTTTTTTCTCCTCCCCCCCCCTCTTCTGCGCTCCCCCCCCGCGCCCCCCCCCCCCCCCCCCCCCCCCCCCCCCCCCCCCCCCCCCCCCCCCCCCCCCCCCCCCCCCCCCCCCCCCCCCCCCCCCCCCCCCCCCCCCCCCCCCCCCCCCCCCCCCCCCCCCCCCCCCCCCCCCCCCCCCCCCCCCCCCCCCCCCCCCCCCCCCCCCCCCCCCCCCCCCCCCCCCCCCCCCCCCCCCCCCCCCCCCCCCCCCCCCCCCCCCCCCCCCCCCCCCCCCCCCCCCCCCCCCCCCCCCCCCCCCCCCCCCCCCCCCCCCCCCCCCCCCCCCCCCCCCCCCCCCCCCCCCCCCCCCCCCCCCCCCCCCCCCCCCCCCCCCCCCCCCCCCCCCCCCCCCCCCCCCCCCCCCCCCCCCCCCCCCCCCCCCCCCCCCCCCCCCCCCCCCCCCCCCCCCCCCCCCCCCCCCCCCCCCCCCCCCCCCCCCCCCCCCCCCCCCCCCCCCCCCCCCCCCCCCCCCCCCCCCCCCCCCCCCCCCCCCCCCCCCCCCCCCCCCCCCCCCCCCCCCCCCCCCCCCCCCCCCCCCCCCCCCCCCCCCCCCCCCCCCCCCCCCTCCTCCTCCTCTCTCCTCCCTTCTTCCCCCCCCCCCTTTTTTTTTTTTCTCCCCCCCCCCCCCCCCCCCCCCCCCCCCCCCCCCCCCCCCCCCCCCCCCCCCCCCCCCCCCCCCCCCCCCCCCCCCCCCCCCCCCCCCCCCCCCCCCCCCCCCCCCCCCCCCCCCCCCCCCCCCCCCCCCCCCCCCCCCCCCCCCCCCCCCCCCCCCCCCCCCCCCCCCCCCCCCCCCCCCCCCCCCCCCCCCCCCCCCCCCCCCCCCCCCCCCCCCCCCCCCCCCCCCCCCCCCCCCCCCCCCCCCCCCCCCCCCCCCCCCCCCCCCCCCCCCCCCCCCCCCCCCCCCCCCCCCCCCCCCCCCCCCCCCCCCCCCCCCCCCCCCCCCCCCCCCCCCCCCCCCCCCCCCCCCCCCCCCCCCCCCCCCCCCCCCCCCCCCCCCCCCCCCCCCCCCCCCCCCCCCCCCCCCCCCCCCCCCCCCCCCCCCCCCCCCCCCCCCCCCCCCCCCCCCCCCCCCCCCCCCCCCCCCCCCCCCCCCCCCCCCCCCCCCCCCCCCCCCCCCCCCCCCCCCCCCCCCCCCCCCCCCCCCCCCCCCCCCCCCCCCCCCCCCCCCCCCCCCCCCCCCCCCCCCCCCCCCCCCCCCCCCCCCCCCCCCCCCCCCCCCCCCCCCCCCCCCCCCCCCCCCCCCCCCCCCCCCCCCCCCCCCCCCCCCCCCCCCCCCCCCCCCCCCCCCCCCCCCCCCCCCCCCCCCCCCCCCCCCCCCCCCCCCCCCCCCCCCCCCCCCCCCCCCCCCCCCCCCCCCCCCCCCCCCCCCCCCCCCCCCCCCCCCCCCCCCCCCCCCCCCCCCCCCCCCCCCCCCCCCCCCCCCCCCCCCCCCCCCCCCCCCCCCCCCCCCCCCCCCCCCCCCCCCCCCCCCCCCCCCCCCCCCCCCCCCCCCCCCCCCCCCCCCCCCCCCCCCCCCCCCCCCCCCCCCCCCCCCCCCCCCCCCCCCCCCCCCCCCCCCCCCCCCCCCCCCCCCCCCCCCCCCCCCCCCCCCCCCCCCCCCCCCCCCCCCCCCCCCCCCCCCCCCCCCCCCCCCCCCCCCCCCCCCCCCCCCCCCCCCCCCCCCCCCCCCCCCCCCCCCCCCCCCCCCCCCCCCCCCCCCCCCCCCCCCCCCCCCCCCCCCCCCCCCCCCCCCCCCCCCCCCCCCCCCCCCCCCCCCCCCCCCCCCCCCCCCCCCCCCCCCCCCCCCCCCCCCCCCCCCGGCCCCCCCATTATAATTAAGGGTGTTAAATTATATTAAATTTATGTGTTGTTTGTTGTAACAGTGCTTTTCTTTTCATCTGTATGTCAAGACCCTGTTAAAACAATTTTAAGATAACTGTTTGAACCATTTAACCTTGATCCACAACAACTTGCCATAAAAGGTAGATATTGCAAAATTTTAAGTACAAAATTTTAAATTACAAACAAATGTCAGGTGACAAAGACTTTCGCATTAAAATCATTTTTATGACGCAATTACTCATTTCATTAGTTATTGTTTTCATAGTCATAAGACGACTGGAGTAATTAAATCTCCAACAAAAAGGCCTGGTTGATTCCCTTGTATATCTACCCAAATCTTCTTATTGCAACGACACTGTTAGTTTCCCTGTTATAACAAATTAAAAAATCAATCTTAGATACACAATAAGAACCCTTCGATTTAATCAACCGTGTACCCAGTAGTTAAGATCAAAATTATGATTTTCAATTAAATGTTTGATGATTTCGCTTTTAATGCATATAAATAAGTTATTCTATATATTTGAATAATAATTACAATTATTATTTATACTGAAAAATATTCAAACTCAAAATAACTTTATTCGTATAAGTACACAAGTCCACTTATGAACGTGAACAGAAAAGTTTTCGAACCCAAATCAAAACTTTTCTGTTCATAAGTGGACTTGTACATAATATATTATTTAAAAAAAAAACAACTGCACTTACAAAAAATTTAAGTATGAGCAAATGTAACATGTAGGTACTGTATGATTATTACTGAGTTATATGTTCTCATTTTACAAGGTTAACTGCGATTTACTTATTGCAACATCATACTGCACCCGTTGTCAGCATTTTTATAGGAATAACAACGTAAGGAAAAAGTTAGTAACACTGACAATGTTTTTTTTAATATATCCTACAAAAATAAATTTATTCTGTAAATGTCTGAAACAAAACCGACTTGAAACTTTTATGGAAACGCTTATAAAATAATAATGTGTGGTGA